GAGGCGATCATGGAGCAGCTGGACGGCTGCTTCAGGATCTCTGCGAGTGGAATTCCAGAGGGATAGGATATCAGAGGATGTGAAGGCCTTTGTGAGGGTCTCAGGGGGTAGCCTTTACCATCGTTGAGGGTTTGGTGGAGTAAAGAGGGATGTGAGAGGAGAAGGAGATGATGAAGTGGTCCAAGAAGGCCTTGTCCATTATGCTCAGGTCAGAAATGTCAAGGCTGTGGGTGATGACGAGGTCAAGGCCATGGCCACGGTTGTGGATCGGTGAATTGATGTGAAGAGTGAGGTTTAGGGAGGAGAGATCTTGAATTTCAAGATCCTCATCCTCACCTACAAGGCCATTCACGGCCTTGCTCCCTCCTACCTCTCCAACCTACTATCCCCCTACCTACCTGCCCGTACCCTCCGTTCCTCTGGCTCCGGTCTGCTCCACGTCCCCCGCCCCAACCGCCCTACTATCGGTGGTCGGGCCTTCAGCCTCTCAGCCCCGAGGCTCTGGAACTCCATCCCCCAGTGCCTTCGCCGCTTCCTCCCTTTCCTCCTTCAAGGCCGGTCTCAAAACCTTTCTCTTTGACCGTGCCTTCAGCTCCCCTCTCGACTCTCTTCCTCCTCCTCGCTCCCTCCCTTCCCTCCCCTCACCCTGACCATTTCCCCCTCCTCTCTCCTCCCTTCCCTCCCCTCACCCTGACCATTTCCCCCTGCTCGGGTCATGACCCAACTGTGCAGCGCCTTGGGACGTCCTCCTGACTTGAAAGGCGCTCTATAAATGGAATCTTGTTGTTGTTGTTGTTGTTGAGAGGAGGGTGGTGAAGTCAGAAGATGTGGTGCAAGGGGAGTTTAGGTAGAGGTTGAAATTGCCCATTATAAGCAGGCATTCGGAGCAGAGGGACAGGGAAGAGAGGAGAGTAGAGATGTCAGAGAGGAAGGAGCCAGGGGGTTTAGGGGGGGTGGTAGACCAGAAGGATTTTCAGCAGGAGAGAGCGATGGAAGAGGGTGAGGTGCTCAAAAGAGGGGAAGCAGCCAGGTTTCTGTAAGCCCAAGAATGTAGAGGTGCTCATCCAGGATGAGGTTATGCATGGCGAGGGCTTTGTTTGTGAGGGAACGGACATTTTGAAGGGAAATCCGGGTGGGTTTGCTGGTGGGAGGAGAGGGAGGGGAGAGTGATACGGAGAGAATTTAAGGTGTACAGAAGAGATGGCTGTGGAGTGTGGGGGGAGTGAAGAGTTGGGAAGGTTACGCATGAGGGAGGGGGAAGTTGCGCTTGCCTTAAGGAGGCAGTTTGTCAGAGGGAGTGAATGACAGCCAGTGCCGGGAGCCACGATGGGCCTGGAGCCACGATGGGCCCAGCGGAGGATGCCCAGGCTGGAGCAGAGGGAAGTGGTGATGGGGTTGAGGAGAGAGAGAAGGCGGGGTGGGGGGGCGATGGGAGAGAAGGACAGAGTGGGAGTAGCGGATAGAGAGGGGTGGGAGGAGAGATATTTAGAGTGGAGGGGGAGGCTCGGGTTGGGGCAGCAGCCAAAACACGCATGCAGAGACTGAGAGCGAGCGATCAGCGGGACGGGACTGAAGGCACGGTTAAAGAGGAGAGTCCTGAGACAGGTCTTGAAGGAGGCGAGGGAGAAAGTGAGGCAGAGAGACTGTGGGATGGGGTTCTAGAGGATGGAGGCAGAGAGGCTGAAAACCCAACTGCCAATGGTGGGGCAGGCAAGGCAGGAGACATGAAGCAGACCAGAGCCTGCTGAGCTGCGGGAGCAGACAGGTTGGAAGGGGGTTAGGACATCACTGAATTAGGGAGGAGCGAAGCAGTGGAGGGCCAAGATCTTGAACTGTATCCTCTGAGTGATAGGGAGCCAGGGGGAGTCAGGCGAGGATGGGATTGATAGGGTCTCGGTGCCTGGTGCGGGAGAGGACACGGGCTGAAGAGTTCTGGATGATCTGCAGTCTATGGAGGGAGGAATTGGGGAGGCGAACAAGCAGGGAGTTTGGGTAGTCCAGCCTGGATGCATGGCTGACAAGGTTCCGTATTGGCTCTGTGAGGTGTAGAGTGCGTCCATGAAGGGTGATGCTGTCAGCGCCCAAGGTATGGAGATGCTGACCGGATCCAAGCAGGAAGGCCTCGGTCTTGTTGACATCCAACTGGAGAAAGTTAGCTCTCATCCAGGACTTGTGACCCCCAGTCCCCTCTGCCTACTTGTCCTCCTGGACCTCTCTACCAAGTTCGACACAATCGAACATGCCATCTTCCTCCACCGCCTTTCCTCCATCATCCACCTCAGTGGGACTGCACTCGCCTGGTTCAAGTCGTACCTCACAAACCGTCAGCAGTACATCTGCACAAACGGCTTCTCCTCCCGCTCTCACCCAGTCACCTGCGGGTACCCCAAGGATCCATCCTTGGCCCTCTCCTCTTTCTGATCTACATGCTCCTAATTCTATTTTTCCACCTCTCTTTGCAACCCCTAATCCCCTGATGTTCTGTCAGCTGCCTGTCAGATCTCAGGAGCTGGATGAGCGCAAATTTCCTTCAGCTGAATGTTGACAACGTCTCAAATCTCACAGTTCTCACCTCCTACACCTTCCTGACCTCCCGCTAACACTCTCCAAACCCATACGCAACCTAAGCATCAGGTTCAATCCCCAATTATCCTTCCTCCCCCACATCCGGTCCCTCACCAGAACCACCTTCTTTCACCTCCAACGCATCGCCTGTCTCCGCCAATACCTCACTTCAAAAGCCACTGAAACCCTGGTCCATGCCTTTGTCACCTCTTGGGTGGACTATTCAAATGCCCTCCTCGCCGGCCTCCGCTCCACTACCATCCATAAAATCCAGACTATACAAAACTCTGCCGCCCGCATTCTCACCCGCACCGAACTCCACTCCCTGATCACCCCAGTCCTCACCAGACTGCACTGGCTGTCTGTCCCAGAGAGGATCGATTTCAAGATCCTAACCCTTGTCTTCAAATCCCTCCATTCCTCTGCACCTCCTACCTCTCTGACCTCCTCTCTCCTCAAAACAGTGCCCGTTGCCTTCGTTCCTCTGGGTCTGGCCTCCTACTTGTCCCCCAAGTCCTCTGCTCCACCTTCGGTGGCCATGCCTTCAGCCACTACGCCCTGAGGCGCTGAAACTCCCTCACTCACTCCCTTTGCCTCACCCCTTCTCTTCCTACTTTCAGGTCTCTGCTGAAAACCTTTCTTTTCGACCACACCTTTGGTCACCTTCCTCCCCCTCTCCCTGGCTCTGCCCCGGGATTCGTTACTGTGAAGCGCTCTGAGACGCCGCCCGGTGTGGAGGGCGGTATATAAATCCAAGTTGTTGTTGTTGATGTCCGACAGGCAGTCTGTGAGAACAGCAGTGGTCCTCGAATCGAGGGTGGAGGCAGAGAGGTAGAGTTAGGTGTCATTCGCATACATGTGAAAGTTGACCCCATGTTCATGGTCCAGGGGCTGAAGGAGAAGCCGTTAGTGAAGACAAAGTGGAGATGGTGGGAGAGCTAGGATTTGAACCAGGTCTGTGAAGTTTGAGCTGAGAGGAGAGGTGGTGGAGGAGGATAGAATGGTCGACATGTGGAAGGCAGCAGAGAGGTCAAGGAGCACAAGGAGGTAGAGAGGGCCCTGGTCACAGATGGACAGAATGTCATTAGTGACTTTGACCAGGGCTGAGATAGGGTGATAGCTGGAGAGTAGGGATGGATCCAGTAAGGTTTTTTGAGGATGGGGGTGATGACAGAGGGGTTGGAACGGTGCCAGTGGATAAAGAGAGGTTGATGATGTCGGTTAAAAGAGGGGCCAGGAGGTGGAGCTGGGAGGTGAGGAAAGGGGTGGGGATGAGGTCGATGGAGCAGGTGGTGGGCTTTATTTACGAAATAATGGAGGTGAGGGAAGAGTCCTGTAGCTCAGTGGTTAGAGCACTCGCTTTGTAAGTGAGAGACCTGAGTTCAATTCCAGGCAGAGGGCGAAACCTTGGGCAAGTTTCCTTACTCCACACAGAGCCTAATAATAATCCCTCCAAAACCAAAAACAATAATAAATTGGTCATTTTCAATCTACAACTGTTTGTGGGACATTGCTGTGCGCAATTGGCTGCTGCGTTCGCCCAAAAATATACAGTCAATTCACTTTACAGTGTGTTCTGTGAAGCGCTTTGGGACGTCCTCCCGACGTGAAAAGCGCTATATCAAATGCAAGGATTATTATTATTATTATTATTAAGAGGGCGAAACAGGGTTGAAGGTGTGTAGGGAAGGGTGAGTAGGAGCCGGGGTGTGAGGGGCAGGTGGGGAGGGGGTACTGGAAGACGGGGGTGAGGTAGCCAAGTGAATCCCCTCAACTATGGACTTGAGGAAGTCCAACATCTCCTTGCAGCTGTAAATGGAGAAGAGGATGGGCGAGGCATGGGAAAGTGGACAACCTGGGTTGTCATTGGCCTTCAAGATTATCTTGCAGCAGAAGGATGATTTGACGGAGGTGAGGGCGGAGCAGTGGGTCTTGGTATGGTCTAGCCAGATCTGCCGATGGACCATCAGGTTTGATTTGGTCCAGGTGCACTCATCAGCACGCACTTGTGCTTTGAGGGATAAGAGTGGCTGGTAAACCACAACCACTACAACAACAACCTTCATTTACACAGCACCCCTTACCCAGGGTTGCATCCCAGAGAGCTTGGCATTCGCGGAGCCCAACACCAAGCTGGGGGGGAGGGGTAAGGTGACAATAGGCATGGTCAAAGAGGAAGGTCTTTAGGCACGACCTGAAGATGGAGTAGGAAGGGATAAGGCAGAGGGAAAAGAGAATGAGTGTTCCAGAGTTTTGGCGCACAGAGGCTGAAAGCATGTCTGCCAATTGTGGAGTGGAGGGCACGAGGGACAAACAGGGACACTACCCTACCTTACAGGACTCCAACTATCAAGGGAAATTAAAGGGTGGTGGGTGGGGAAATAGATGATATAACGGGTTACGTAATCTTTCCTGTAATGTTCTTGTCCTGTCAGGTGTGCTCGGCACTCGCAGCTACAACATTGAGTCTGAAGCAAACAAGGTGTTTACAATGAACGGAGAGGAACGATTTGGCCAGAAGGTGATTCAGTTCAACAGCACATGGTAAGCTGTGCGATGATTTCTCCTCCCGCTTTTCAATATCTTCCTCACTGTTTTCCCTTCAGAACAGACCCTCTCACTCCTCTGCAAATCCCTCCACGTCCAGTCACCTACCTCCCTTTCTGAACTGGCTTCACGGTGACATGCCTGGCCATGGAATGTCAGAATCAAGTCCATTCTCTATGACAGTCTCCAGTCTGGTTTTCTGAGACGGTCATCGGCAGCAATCGGAAGGGCAGACCAGTCACTGGGGACAGGGAGTGATTCCACTCAGCTCCTGTTAAACCTGCAAACCAAAGCCCTAATGGGTAGGGTGGTCCTAGCTGGACAAGCAGCGGGAAAGCTTGCCAGACAGAGATATCAATGGCAAGCTGTGTGATTTTAGTTGGTTAAACTCCAGCAGTTACCCCAAAGCACACTCTGGGGTCCCCAAGCCTTGGCTCTCATCAACCTGTGCCTAATACTTTCCGGAATTAGGTAAGCAGGATGTGTCCCTCCAGGGAAAGAGCGCACATTCCATTCCAACAATTTATCTTGGGAATTCCCACGTGTAGGTGGGATGGACAGAATTCTCAGTTTGGTTTGGGTTTCTGCAGGCGTCAGACAAAATAATCAATCCTGACACACCCCCACAAATTCCTTCATGCCCTGGCACCTCCCTACCTCTCTGACTTGCTTTATCCCCACTCCACTACCTGCTGCCTCCGCTCGGCTGGCTCCGGCATCCTGCTTGTCCCTCGTGCCCTCCATTCCACCATCAATGGCTGTGCTTTTAGCCGCTACGCCCCGAAACAATTTCACTCTCTCCCCAAATGTCTTTGCCTTGCCCACTTCTTCCCCTGCTTTAGATCATGACTGAAGACCTTCCTCTTTGATCATGCTTACTGTCACCACACCTCTCCCTCCCCAGCTCGGCGCTAGGCTCCACTACTGTTAAGCGCTCTGAGATGCTGCCACGTTTGAAGGCCGCTACATAAATTAAATTTGTTGTTATAAAAATACTTGCATTTGATATAGTGCCTTACCATGTCGTTGAGACGTCTCAAAGCACTTCACAGAATGTACTGTAAAGCATGTTTTGTGGGCGAAACACGGCAGTTAATTGCACACAGCAGTGTCCCACAAACAGTTCTGGATTGACTGACCACATTTTTTTAATAATAATAACCCTAATAATAAGGTTGACATCATCAACCTCTCCCTGTCATCTGGCACTGTTCCTACGCCCCTCAAAACAACCACTATCACCCCACCTTGAAGAAACCTTCCCTTGACCCATCACAGCTATCCAGCTACCGGCCCATCTCCCACCCCCCTTTTCTGTCTAAGGTCCCTGAGAGAGCCGTCGCCTCCCAGTTTCACTCTTTCTTCTCCTCTCACTCCCTCCATGAGTGCCTCCAATTGGGTTTCGATACAACCCACAGCATGGAAACTGGTCTGGTCAAGGTCACAAATTACATCATGGCCATGTGTGACCAGGGCTCCCTCTGCCTCCTCGTCCTCCTCGACCTCTCCGCCGTCTTTGATACTGTGGACCACTCAATCCTCCTCCACCACCTCTCTTCCCACCTCAACCTTCAAGGTTCTGTCCTTGACTGGTTCAGGTCCTACCTTTCATACCGCCTCCACCTCATCTCTGCAAGTGGCTTCTTCTCCAGCCCCCGCACCATCTTGTGCGGTGTTCCTCAGGGCTCTGTCCTCGGTCTCCTCTTCTTCACCCTTTACATGCTCCCCCTTGGTGACATCATCCGCAGACATGGGGTAAATTTCCATATGTATGTGGATGATATCCAACTCTCTCTCTGCCTCCACCCTCAACTCCAGGACCACTGGTGCCCTGACCAACTGCCTGTCCAACATCAAGTCCTGGACAAGGATAACTTTCTCCAACTGACTGTCAGCAAGACCGAGGCCCTCCTGATTGGCTTGCGCCAGTGCCTCCTCACCTCGGGCGCTGGCAGCATCAGCCTCCACGGCTGCGCACTCAATCTCACTAAGCCAATCAGGAATCTGGGTGTCTTCTTTGACCCTGAACGATCCTTTCTCCCCCACTGACCGGCACTGCCTACCACTACCTCTGCAATATTGCCAGACTCCACCACTGCCTCACCCCTCAGGCTGCTGAAACCCTCACCCACACATCCGTCACATCAAGCCTTGATTATTGAAACTCCTTCCGCATTGGCCTTCCCAATTCTTCCGTTCACTAGCTGCAGATCATTCAAAACTCTGCAGCTCATGTACTCTCGCGCACCAGGCTCCATAACCCCATCACTCCCACCCTCACCCAACTCCACTGGCTCCCCATCCCCCAGAGGATCGAATTAAAGATCCTCGTCCTCACTTTCAAGGCCATCCATGGGCTTTCCCACTCCTACTTCTCTGACTTGCTGACCCCTTACCAACCTGCCTGCTCCCTCCGTTCAGTAGGCCACCACCCTACCATCGGTGGCCCTCGCTTTCAACCTCTCTGCCCCCACACTCTGGAACTCCATCCCACAGTCCCTTCACCTCGCTTCTTCCTTTGCCTCCTTCAAGGCCGGTCTCAAGACCCTCCTCTTCGATCATGCCTTCCGTCGCTCTCCCACCTCTCTTCCTTTCCTCACCCCTACCCCACATCCCTCCCCCATGCTCGGGTCCTGACCCTCGGTTCCAGCACCTTGGGATGTCCTCCGGACCTGAAATGCGCTCTATAAATGTAATTTTGTTATTGTTGTTGTTGTCCTTGCATATGATACAAAGCCATATCATGTCATCACAATGTCTCAAAGCATTTCACAAGATACACGGTAAATTGTAGTAACTGCGTTTTGTGGGCGAAACACAAATAAATAGCGAGAATATTACATATGGTTGTTGATCGAAATGAGGTGTTTTAATAGAGTAGACAGCCCTACTTTCTGCACTATTTCTCCAGCCATGCATTCATGTGTTTGATCTTGCTGTTCTGATACTCATTTGTACAAGACACTCGGAGTAATCCAGACATCACAACCTATGAGATCTTACTCTTTAGCTTTTTCCCTAGCTTCTGATACTCTCTCTTTAGGATCTCAGCACTTTTTTTTCTCAACGTCATGGATCCCAACATGGACCACAACTTCCAGATGTTCCCCTTCCCTCCGTAGAACATTTTGCACCCTTTCTGTGATGTCTTCAACATTAGCACCAGGGAGGCAACATACCATGCGAGAGTCAGGTTTTTAGTTGCAGAAACGCCTGTCTACTACTTTCACTATTGTGTCCTCAATGAAATTGCATTGACACCCTTCCCTGTGTCAACCTGTGCATCCATTTGCTTTTGACTTCCCTCCCCAGAGGTGTCATCACTCTGACTGGTATTCAAAAACAACAATAACAAGATTACATTTGTATAGCGCCTTTCACGTCGGGAGGACGTCCCAAGGCGCTGGACAGTGTATAGCATTTCAGACCCGAGTTGGGGTCAGGGGGGGAGAAGGGAGGGGAGGGGAAGGGAAGTGGGGTGGCCGAAGGCATAGTCGAGGAGGAGTGTCTTGAGGCGGGACTTGCAGGAGGCTAAGGAGGGGGCGAGGCGGAGCGATTGGGGGATGGAATTCCAGAGGTTGGGGGCAGAGTGGCAGAAGGCTCTCCCGCCAATGGTGGGGCAGGTCGGAGCCAGCTGAGGGGAGGGAGCGGGTGGGTTGGTAGGGGGTTAGGAGTTCGCAGAGATAGGTTGGGGCGAGATCATGGAGGGCTTTGTAGGTGAGGACCAGGATCTTGAACTGGATCCTCTGAAGGCTAGGAAGCCAATGGAGTCGAGCGAGATGGGGTCACAGAGTTTGGTGCGTGAGAGGACATGGGCTGCAGAGTTCTGGAGGATCTGCATCCTGTGGAGGGAGGAGTTGGGAAGGCCGACAAGCAGGGCATTTGCATAGTCGAGCCTGGAGGTGATGAAGGCATGAACAAGAGTTTCAGCGGCCTCAGAGGTGAGGTAGTGGCGGAGTCGGGCGATGTTACGGAGGTGAGGGAAGACAGAGCGGGTCATGGCTTGAATATGGGGAAGAAAAGACATTTGAGGGTCGAACAAGACTCCTAGGTTCCTGACTGGATTGGTGAGTTGAAGTGTGTAACCATGGAGGTTGATGCTGCCAGAGCCTGAGGTGCAGAGGCTTTGGCGCAGTACAGAAGCGCAGTACAGAGAATCAGTTGGTGAGTACCACACTCACAGGATTTCTGCACTGCCCATCCCCTCTTCCTACCATGTTGGGTGTCACCCACTCACTCTCCGTCTCAAGTCTCTGTGGCTGTGGGGTGACCACCTCCTGAAACATTCAATCCATGAACTGTTCAGCCTCCCGTATGCTATGTACTGACTTCGTGGAGTCCTGTAGCTCAGTGGTTAGAGCACTCGCTTTGCAAGCGAGAGACCTGGGTTCATTTCCAGGCAGGTCAGGGCGAAACCTTGGGCAAGTTTCCTTACTCCACACAGAGCCTAATAATAATCCCTCCAAAAACCAAAAACAATAATAAATTGGTCATTTTCAATCTACGACTGTTTGTGGGACATTGCTGTGCGCAATTGGCTGCCGCGTTCGCCCACAAATATACAGTCAATTCACTTTACAGTGTGTTCTGTGAAGCGCTTTGGGACGTCCTCCCGACGTGAAAAGCGCTATATCAAATGCAAGGATTATTATTATTAAGCCTCTCCTCAAGCTCAGAAACCTCAAGCAGCCAGTGGCACTTCCTAAACACGTGTCTATCCAGGCTATACAAAGCATCCTGGAGTTCCCACTTGGCACACATTGTGTATGCAACCGGTCTCAGCTGTCCTGTCATATTCCCAGACATGTTTTATATTATTTTAATATAACTTTATTATATATTTTATAATTAGGCACCTCTTTCCCCCTCTGCACCAAATTCCCACTCTCACCAAATTTCTTAACGGAATTCTCACTCTGTTCCACCTCACTCATTTCGCTCCTCACACTGCTGGGCTCTGCTCAAGTCATTACGTCCCGGCTTGACTACACTAACTGCCTGCTCGCTGGACATGCCTCATGCTGCTGGGCTCTCTGCTCCAATCCTTTCTGTACTGTAGGATTGTACGATGCTATGAATTCAAGATCCTCAATCTTGTCTACAAATCACTTCATGTCCTGGCAACTCCCTATTTCTCTCATCTGCACAATCCAACCCCCACCTCCCACCCACCTCACCACCTCTCTCCTCTTCCTCTAATACTGCTATCAGCCTCACTGCTGTCCTCTGACTCTAAATCTGTGATCGTTACAGGAAGGGTGGAGCAGACAACACCAATTTTGCTGATTATTCATGCTTTGTATTTTTAGTAAAAGTTCTGAGCAGGGAGTTTTATTTCTGTTCACATTGTTTCCTCAAATTCTTTCCATATTTACTATCTTAAATGAGCCTGTGTCAGCCCGGCTCAGTCGCGGTGTGCCAGCCCGGCTCAGTCGCTGTGTGCCAGCCCGGCTCAGTCGCTGTGTGCCAGCCCGGCTCAGTCGCTGTGTGCCAGCAGGGCTCAGTCGCTGTGTGCCAGCCCGGCTCAGTCGCTGCGTGTCAGCCCGGCTCAGTCGCTGGTTTTCTCGCCTCTGATTTAGGTTTGGGGTTTGAGCGACCCCACACGTTGGAGACTTGAAATCACATAGTCTAAGTTGACACTCCAATGCAGCGCTAGCGGGAGTGAGAGAGAGAGAGAGACATTGTTGGAGGCACCATCCTTCGAATGAGTTAAACCTCGCTTGTTCCCTCTCTGTGCTCAGTCACTATATTTTACAGTCTGTTCTGTGAAATGCTTTGAGACGTCCCGAAGATGTGATAAGGCTGTGTGTCAAAGGCAAGGATTATTATTGTTGTTATTAGTATAGTATAGTATAGTATACATCACCTCGCTCTGTGCTCGCTCTTCTCTGTTCCCCTCTCGCAGGCTCTTAGTCAGCTCACCGGTGCTGGAAAGTTCTGGAAACAATGGGAAAATGTACAAATGTCATGTAGATAAGGATTCGTGTGAGGAGATCGACATTGGAACAGATACAGGTTTGGGTTACTATTGATCTCTCTCTCTCTCTCGTGCTATTTTGTTCTTTTGTTTTCTGTCTCTTCCTCTTCCAATTATTGTGTCTGTCTCTTTTCTCTTTCTCTCTCACTCATTCTCTCTCGCTCTCTCCTCCTACTATTATTCTGTCTGTCTCTGCGATAGAGCGATTGAGAGAGAGAGAGGGAGAGAGAGAGAGGCTGAGAGAAAGAGAATGTGCATCTGATGCAGCCGGAGAGAGCGAGAGAGGGAGACTGGGAGAGAGAGAGAGGCTGAGCAGCTGAGAGGGAGGGATGGACGGACAGACGGAAGACTGAGACTGAAAAAAAGACTGAGACAGAGAGTTGAAAACCTGTGTTGATAATTCCTATTTGTTTAACAGGAAAATCTGAATCCAGTTTGTCATTGTTAACGTTGGAGGCATTTGATTCAAGGTTTGTGGTGAGTGAACCCCCAAAATTCGGGTAGTGTCTATACTGGTGCTCACTCCCCCCTCACTGGAGATTCTGATTTCATTTAAAATTAATTTATTTTGGTCAGAAGAGTATCTGACATGTGCAGAAACCCATCACCATGATTACGAGTCTCCAAAACAAACTGAGAATTCCATGCTTCCCACCTACTCATGGAAATTCCAGAGATGTTTATCGGAATGGAATGTGCTCTCTCTCTGGTGGGACACATCCTGCTTACCTAATTCCAGACAGTATTAGGCATAGGTTGGCAAAAGCCAAGGCTTGGGGACCCCAGAGTGTACGTTAGGGTAACTGCTGGAGTCTAACCAGCTAAGCCCACACAGCTTGCCATTGATATGACTATCTGGCAAGCTTTCCCGCTGCTTGTCCAGCTAGGGGCACCCTTCCCATTAGGGCTTTGGCTGAAGGGTTAACAGGAGCTGAGGGGGAGGATTCCCTGCCCCCAGTGACTGGTCGGCCCTTCCAGGTCCTGCTGATGGGCCAGGCCGGGCTGTGCTGTCATCAGCAGTGAGTGCCCTGGAATACTGCGGACCCACCTGGCTCACAAACCGGGCAAGAGACATGTCACTTTGAAGCCAGTTCAGCTACGAGGAGACCCCACTTACCTCCACCGCCCACTCACCCCCTCACCCCACTTGGTGTCATGAAAATCAAAATATAAACACACTCATATTTTCCTTGTTCAAATATTTCCGCAGGTCTGTGGGTCTACGATGGCTGAATCCTGTGTATCTAATACGCAGCTGACTGGTGCTTGCTACTCCTTCAATGATAAATTTCAAATAACTAACGCTATGAGACCTGGCTATGAAGGTAGGTGCTGTTTTAGCAATGTAACTACAACAACAAATTACATTTGGCCTTTCATATTGGGAGGATGTTCCAAAGCGATGGACAATCAGAGATTTGGACTCGAGCTGGGAGTTGGGATCAGAAGACGTGGAGGGTAGGGAGGGTGGGGATAGGAGGGTGACCCAAGCTACGGTCGAAGAAGAGGGTCTTGAGCCAGAATGTGAAGGAGGCGAGGGAGGGAGGGAAGTGAAGGGACTATGTGATCGAGTTCCAAATGATGGGGGCAGAGAGACTGAAGGCCCAACCACCGATGGTGGGGTAGGAAGGGCGGAGGATGTGAAGCAGACCAGAGCCCACTGAGGGGAGGGAGCAGACAGGTCGATATGACGTTAGCAGGTCACAGAGGTAGGAAGGAGCAAGACCATGAAGGGCTTTGAAGGCGAAGGAACACAGAAATTGCTCGATGAAAAAAGACCATGGTCCATTTAGGAACATAGGAATGTGACGTCCTGTAGCTCAGTCCTGTAACTTGCCTCACAAGCAAGAGGACCTGGGTTTGATTCCCGGGCAGGGCAAATCCTTACTCCACACGCACGCCTCTGTTTACCCAGCAGTAAGTAGGAAACCAATTGTTAGTTGATTGCTTTTCTGGGGGTAATAATCCCTTTGATATAAAAAATGTGGTCACTCAATCCACAACTGCTTGTGAGACACTTCTGTGCGCAATTGGCTGCTGCGCTTCGTTCCCAAATGTACAGTGAATTCACTTTGCAGCATATTCTGTGAAGAGCTTTGAGACGTCTCGGCGAGGTGATAAGGCGCTGTGTCGTGGGAGGATTATTATTATGCTGATGATTATTATTGCCTTTGTGTTCCCCCGTCAGAGTGTCTCTTTGTCAGCACTGACATCGTGATCCTGTTTGACGGCTCCAACAGTCTGAGCAAGAGAGACTTTATCAAAAACAAGAAATTTGTTGAACATATAATGAACGAATCAAACAGCGAGTTTGTGCAGGTCTGTGACTGGAATCTCATTCTTTCTTTCTATTTCTCTCTCTCTCTTTCACCCTCTTTCTTTTTTTCCCTCTCTTTCCCTCCCTCCTTCCTTCCTTTCTTTTTTGCTTTCTTGCTTTCTTTCTCTCACTCTCTCTCTGTCTGTCTTTCTTTCCTCTATCTCTGTGACCTGCTAATGTCACCATTGGTGGGTGGCCTTCAGGTTCTCAGCCCCCACCCTCTGAAACTCCATCCCACAGTTCCTTTGCCTCAGCCTCTCCCTTACCTCCTTCAAGGCATGTCTCAAGACCCTCCTCTTCAACTGCACCTTTGGTCACCTTCCCCCCCCCTTCCCCTGGCTCGGTCCCAGGATCCGAAACTGTAAAGTGCTCTGAGATGCCGTCCGGCGTGGAGGGCGCTATATAAATCCAAATTGTTGTTGTTGTTCCCCTACTCTCCACACCCTCCTGATTCCAATCCTCAGCACAGGTCCAAATGCCAGACTGTCCAGCACCTTGGGATGTCCTCCCGATGTGAGAGGCACTGTGTAAATGTCATTTATTCTTGTAATGTGAGGATTATATTTTTTCTCCTGTCAGAGGTACTGGCACTGCGAAAGTTAACCACAGTGGACACAGAAGAAAGGTCGTGCTTGTTGACCATAACACTCACACAAGGCACCCAGAGGACTGTGTGAAAGAGATAGTGGAGAGACTTAGTTATGGAAGCTTAAGGAGAAAGATAAAGAGGTCCTTGGCCAAAAGCCGACATTGATAGCTTGGCACCTCTTAGGAATGAGATCATGATGTTCTCAGGGTTCTGTAGAAAACAAGGATGTTTGGGGGATATAAGGAATTGTTGGGAGATGTAGGAGCTGAAGAAGCTGAGAGGGAGCTGAGGGGAGTAGAACAGTCCAAGAATGCAGGAGCTGTTGAGAGAATGTGGGAGATAAAGGGAGAATGTGGGAGCAGAGAGAGAGCGATCTGAGGGGAGCAGGACAGTCAGAGGATCCTGATACTATCCTTATAGCTGTGTAATAAACCTTGATTCTAACACTCTACATTTCGAGTACATCTGTTGTTGAACAGTGAATGCTTTGCCCCCTCCCTTGCCTCCTTCAAGACCCATCTCAAAACCCCCTCGTTGACCATGCCTTTGGTCACCCTGCTTCCCCTTCTGCCCTCCAGCTTCTTCAATGCTGATCCCCAGCTCGGATCCTGATTGTCCAGTACCTTGTAATTTTGTTGTTTCTGGTGTCCTGTAACTCAATGGTTAGAGTGCTCACCTCGCAAGCAAGTGAGAGGACCTGGGTTCGATTCCCAGTGGGGCGAAACTTTAGGGAAGTTTCCTTAATCCACACACACGCCTCTGTTTACCAAGCAGTAAGTAGGATCCCAATTGTTAGTTTATTGGTGGATCGCTTTCTGGGGATAATAATCCCTTAAAAAAAAATCCTAATTTGGTCACTCAATCCATGACTGTTTGTGGGACGCTGCTGTGTGCAATTGGCTGACTCATTTTGCCCACAAAATGTACAGTCAAATCACTTTACCGTATATTCTATGAAGCGCTTTGAGACGTCTCGCAGACGTGATAAGGTGCTGTATAAATGCAATGATTATTGTTCTTCCTGCTAACCTCTACGCTATGTTCAGTTTGCAGTTGTCCAGTTCTCTGCTGAAGTTAAGTTGGAGATTGACTTCACCACTTACCACAAAAACAAGGCCAACCTGTCTCCACTAATGGACGCCATCAATCACATGGAACAAGTAACCGACACAGCCAAAGCCATCAAGTTTGTCGTGTAGGTGTACAACTCGTGCTCACACAGCACCGCTCACACCAAACACTCTCAGCTTCAACCAATTACAACCAAAACACACAGTCACTACACTTGACTGAAAGATTATTATTATTTTTATAGAAGCGAAGTCTTTGCAGAGAAAACAGGAGCCAGGGAAGGAGCTAAAAAGCTTCTCATTGTGATCACAGACGGGGACTCCACAGATTTTGGGCTTCAAGAAGCCATCGAGTTGGCCAAGAGGAAAAACATAGTTCGCTGGGTGATTGCGGTAATGTTTCTATTCACAATTAAAGCATAAAAACAGCTCAGAAGCCCATCAACGTGATTAAAGAAATCCAAAACTAAACTTCGTGTCCCTCATGCCCTCTGTTCCAACATCAGTGGCCATGCTTTTAGCCACTCTGCCCCGAAATCCAGATCAATCTTTATCCCTCCGCCATGTCCCTTCAACAATAACAACAACAAGATTGCATTTATAGAGCGCCTTTCACGTTCGGAGGACGTCCCAAAGCGCTGGACAGTTGGGTCGGGACCCGAGCAGGGGGGAAATGGTCAGGGTGAGGGGAGGGAAAGGAGGGAGCAAGGAGGGGGTAGAGAGTCGAGAGGGGAGCTGCAGGCACGGTTGAAGAGGAAGGTCTTGAGATCAGCCTTGAAAGAGGAAAGGGAGGAGGCGGCGAAGGCACTGGGGGATAGAGTTCCAGAGCCTCGGGACTGAGAGGCTGAAGGCCCGGCCACCGATGGTAGGGCGGTTGGGGCGGGGGATGTAGAGCAGACCGGAGCCAGAGGAACAGAGGGTACGGGCAGGTAGGTAGGGGGATAGTAGGTCGGAGAGGTAGGAGGGAGCGAGGCCGTGAATGGCCTTGTAGGTGAGGGTGAGGATCTTGAATTCGATCCTCTGGGGATGGGGAGCCAGTGGAGGCGAGCGAGGGTGGGAGTGATGTGGTCGCGAAGCCTGGTGCGGGACAGTACACGAGCTGCAGAGTTCTGAATGACCTGCAGGTTGTGGAGGGAGGTGCCGGGAAGGCCAATGGGAAGAGTGTTCCCGGAGTCCAGCCTTGAGGTGATAAAGGCGTGGACCAGAGTTTCAGCAGCGTTTCCTTGCCATCTTTAGGTCACACCTGAAGACCTTCCTCTTTGACCGTGCCAATGGTTACCTCCCCCTTCTGGCTCGGTGGCATACTCTGTCAATGTCAAGTGCTCTGGGACACAACCGTACTGTGGAATTAGACTCCAGCAGTTACCCCAATCCTTGGCTCTTGCCAACCTGTGTCTAATACTCTCTGGAATTAGGTAAGCAGCGTGCATCACTCCAGGGAGAGAGAGAGAGCATTCCATTCCAACAATCTATCTCTGGGATTTATTTCCATGTGCAAATGGGATGCATAGAATTCTCAGTTGGGTTTGGAGACTCTTAAGCACAGTGAAGGGTTTCCACGTGTCAGACGCCCACCCAGCTGATGAAAAAAAATTGTTTTATAAATGTAAGGGGTGAGGTGTTCTGTGACATCTCTCTGGGGTGAAAGGTGCTGTGCAATGTTAATTAGGTGTATCATTATTTTTACAAACAGGTTGGGAACAATTTTCAAGAAAGGGGAAAAAAGGAGTTGAATGACATTGCCTCTTACCCAGAAAACCTCTATAATATCGCTGATTATACTCAGCTGAACAACGTGCTGAAATCGTTAAAGGAGAAGATGTATTTAATTGAAGGTCAGTTTAAAAACATTTTAATAATTCATAACTCCATATCCTCAGCCAAACCAAACTCTGTGCCCATTACACCAGCCCTCGCCAGGCTTCACTGGCTCCCTATCACACACTAAACTGTGCGCCCATTTCACCAGTCCTCGCCAGGATCCACTGGCTTCCTAATACATAACGGATCTATCTCAAGATCCTCACACTCGCCAACAAATCCCTTCACACCCTGGCACCTCCCTGCCTCTCTGACCTGCTTACTTATCTTTCAGTAGGAACCCAGTTGTCTGTCAGTCAGTCAGTCAATCATTCAATCAATCAATCAATCAATCAATCAATCAATCAATCAGATTATTAACCCCAGAGAAGCCATCTGCCAATCGACTAACAACTGGGTTCCTACCAGCTACTTGGTAAACAGAGGTGTGTGGAATAAGATAACTTGCCCAACATTTCATCCACGCTGGGAATCGAACCACGCTGCCTCACTTGTGAGATGAGTGCTCTAACCACTGCACTGCAGGACTCTACAGGACTTCTTGTTGTTCTATGTCTCAGAAGCAAATTCTGTCGGATTTACCCCCATAGGGACCCAGGAATCTGACTCCGCCTCCTTCAAAATGGAAATGTCACAGGGAGGATTCAGTGCCCTAATATCAAAGGTACATGGAATAAACAATGGAACAGAAATTGGATTCAGATATGAGAGGGAGATGGGTAGAGACTTGGGGGAGTCAGGTGATGGATTGAAGTGTGAGAGGGATATGGATATACTGGGGAGTGAGGGTGTGATGTGATGTTGGAGAGGGAGATGGATAGAGACTTCGGGATTCAGGGATGGATTGAGATGTGAGAGGGAGATGGATAGAGTTGGAGAGTCAGGGGGTGGATTGAGGGGTGAGAGGAGATATAGGCTGAGATCCTGACATGTGTTTCTCAGGACGCCATGGTTTTTGGGACCGTGGGAGCCTACGATTGGTCAGGAGGTCTGATGGAGTACGTCGATGGGAAGCAAGTCTTTATAAACGTCTCGCAAGCTGAGAATGACATGAAGGACTCTTATCTAGGTAATAAGAATAAGGAATTATTACGAAAATAATTATTTTATTATCATTTAATAATTATTAATAACATGTTGTTATCGGAGGGCGCCATCCTTCGGATGAGATGTTAAACCTCATTCTCTCCAAAGATCATCCGCGGTGCTGTCGGGAGGGAAAAGAGAATGGAGTTTCTCTCTGTGTAACTCTCTCCCGGTCTCCTGGTTGACAATCCCCCAAATAAAATGGCTCGCTCTCCTCACGGCTGTTTGCAGGGATGTCGCTGTGCACAAACTGGCTGCCGCTTTTCACCCACAAAACCTTACACTTCACAGTATATCCTGTCAGGTGCTTTGAGATGTCTTGGAGATGTCATAAAAATAATAACAATAATATAACAAAAATCCTTGCATTTGATATAACACCTTATCACGTCTCAAAGCACATCACAGAATTTTCTGTAATGTGCAGTGACTGTATATTTTGTGGGCGAAACTAGGCAGCCAATTGCACCAGCAGCATCCCACAAACAATCATGGATTCAGTGAACAAATTATTTTTAAAATTTATTATGAAGGATTTATTATCCCCGGAAAAGCAATCAGACAATCGACTAACAATCAGGTTACTTCTTACTGCAAGGTAAACGTGCGTTTTCCCCTGCCTGGGAATCGAACCCGGGTCCTTTTGCTTGCGAGGCGAGTGTTCTAACCAATATGCTACATGACTCCATAGCAAGAATTATTATTATTATTGATAAACCACTCAGCTCCGGCGTGTGCTGAAGATTGCAGACTGACTGACGCTGCTCTCTCTGCTCCTGGCTTGCAGGGTACTCAGTGGCAGGAGCGAACGTGAGCGACACGTCTCTCTACATTGTGGGAGCTCCTCGCTATCTGCACAAGGGCAAAGTGGTGATATTCTCAAAGAACTTGTCAACTGGCTCTTGGGCCCCAATCCAGCATATCAACGGACAGCAGGTATAGCACAACAGGAACCCCCCCTCTTCTATTCCTGTCTGTTCCTTTCCACACTTTACTGTGTCTCTAACTTTGACCCGAGAGTGACAAACGTGTTCATTTCACATTCCATTATTCTTCTCAGAGAACTTGCCTGGGACAGATAATGTAGAGGAAGCTTTACTGTGTCTCTAACCCTAATCTGGGAGTGTGGATGGACAGTGTAGAGGGAGCTTTACTGTGTCTCTAACCCTGACCTAGGAGTGTGGATGGACAATGTAGAGGGAGCTTTACACAGCTGTAGCTGTTCACACTGACTTGCATTGCAGATCGGAGCATACTTTGGATGTGAGCTGTGCAGTGTGGATTTGACTCAAGATGGAGGCACAGACTTGTTGCTGATTGGAGCACCTCTGTATCACGACTATGGGGTTGGGGGAATGGTCAGAGTCTGTGTTCTCAGGAACTTGGTATGTTTCAACGTGTGTTTGTGCTCAAAGAAGAATATTATCTCAACCCTTCCTGTTCATTCTCACCATAAACACTGCCAACCCCTGCCTGTTCATTCCCACCACACACACTGCCAACCCCTGCCTGTTCATTCCCATCACACACACTGCCAACCCCTGCCTGTTCATTCCCATCACACACACTGCCAACCCCTGTCTGTTCATTCCCACCATAAACACTGCCAACCCCTGCCTGTTCATTCCCACCATAAACACTGCCAACATACACACTGCCAACCCCTGCCTGTTCACTCCCACCTGCCTATTCTCTTCAGGGCACTGCGGATGTCAGCACAGCCCAGCCTGGCTCATTGGCAGGACCTGGAAGGGCAGGCCAGTCACTGGGGGAAGGGAATCCCCCACTGAGCTCCTGTTAACCCTGCAGCCAAAATCCTAACGGGGAGGGTGGTGCCGCTGGACAAGCAGCGGGAAAGCTTGCCAGACAGCGTTTTCAGTGGCAAGCTATGTGGTTTTAGCTGGTTAGATTCCAGCAGTTACCCCAACATACACTCTGGGGTCCCCAAGCCTTGGCTCTCACCAACCTGCGCCTAATACTCTTTGGAATTAGGTAAGCAGGAAGTGTCCCTCCAGAGAGAGAGAGAGAGTGCGCATTCCATTCCGACAATCTACATCTGGGAATTACCAGGTTTAGGTGGAATGTATGGAAATCTCAGCTTGGATTGGAGACTCTTAAGCCTGGTGAAGGGTTTCCACGTATGTCAGACACCCAGCCGATGAAAAAAAAATTGTTTTCTAAATAAATGTAAATGGTGAAGTGTTGTGAGACGTCTCTGGAAGTGAAAGGCCCTGCGTTGATTCTTCCTAGGAGAATTTGACCTGCACAGACACGCTGTACGGGAAAGCAGGGAATGTCTTTGGGAGGTTCGGAAGTGCGATATCTGAGTTGAGGGACGTGAATGGGGACGGGATCAACGACGTGGCCATCGGGGCTCCCCTGGAGGACGAGCACGCTGGCTGTCTTTACATCTTCAACGGGGAGCGGCACCGCATCAATCCTGTCTATAGTCAGGTCAGTGATCCCAGTACCTCACCAGGGGGCGCTAGTGTAGCCATAACTAGTCCTGCAGTGCAGTGGTTAGTGATCTAGTTGAAGAGGAGGGTCTTGAGATGGGCCTTGAAGGAGGCAAGGGAGGGGGCGAGGCGAAGGGACTGTGAGATGACGTTCCAAAGGGTGGGGGCAGAGAGGCTGAAGGTCCAACCACCGATAGTGGGACAGGCCGGGCGGGAGAACATGGAGCAGGCCGGAGTCCGCGGGCTGATGCTGTCCCGCTGATCGCTCGCTCCCGGTCTTTGCGTGTGCAGTTTGGCTGCCGCCTCGACCGAACCGCTCCCCCCGAAAATGCTCCTCCTCCTACCCCCCTCTATCCGCTACTCCCACTCGTCCTTCTCTCCCACCGCCCTCCACGCCTTCTCTCTCTCCTGGACCCCATCATTACCTCCCTCTGCCCCAGACTGGGCAGCCTCCTCCGGGCCCATCGTGGCTCCTGCGTTGGTTGTACCAGAGCAGCCATCCCAACTGTTCCATTGTTCACTGTCTCCACAGCATCCGCCTCTGCAACAACTCTTCCCCCTCCCTCAGCCATACCCTCTCCAACACTGCCTGCTCCTCAAACTCCACGGTCATTTCTCCCCCATGACACCAAATCCTCTTCATTCCACGCTCTCCTCCATCCTCACCCATCAGCCAACCCATCCGCATTTCCCTACAAAATGTCTGCTCCATCTGCAGTAAAGCCCTCACTCTCCATGACCTCATCCTGGATGAGCACATGGATATTCTTGGGCTTACGGAAACCTGGCTCTCCCCCAGTGACTCCATCCCCCGAGTTGGAACCTCCCCTCCTGGCTACAACTTTCACCACAACCCCTGCCCAAACCAACATGGCAGCGGGGTGGCCCTCATCTCCCAAGCTTCCCCCGGTCTATCCCATTATTCCTCTGGCTGCTTCTCCTCATTTGAGCACCTCACCCTCTACCATCTCACTCAAAATTCTCCTGGTTTACCATCCCCCAAAACCCCCTGGCTCCTTCCTCTCCGATATCTCTGCTCTCCTCTCCTCCCTGTCCCTTTGCTCAGATCGCCTGCTCATAATGGGCGACTTCAACCTCCACCTAAACTCCCCTTGCGCCACATCCTCAGATTTCATTGCCCTCCTCTGCTCCCTAAACCTCACCCTCCACATCAACTTGCTGACCCACAACCATGGCCACTCCCTCGACTTCATCATCACACATAGCCTCGACATTTCCAATCTGTGTATCACGGGCAAAGCCACCTCGGACAACTTCCTCATCTCCTTCTCCTCTCGCATTCCTCTCCCCTCAATCTTGCCCCCAATCACACGTTTCCGCCCATGGAAGAGGCTTCCCCCTGAGACCCTCACAAAAGCCCTCTCATCCTCAGACCTCCTATCCCACTGGCCTTCTGTCCACAGCGGCCCTGAAGCAGCTGTCAAGCTGTTCCATGATCGCCTCTCCTCCACCTTCAACTCCCTCGTCCCCCTGAAATCCAGGAGCGTCTCCAAACCCAACCGCTCTCCCAGTACAACAGCCATCTCCGCTCCCTAACATCCCAAACCCGGCTGCTCGAGTGCAGGTGGCAGAAAAACAGCCTCACCACCAGCTGTGGCTCGAGCATCTTCACACCTACCCCGCTGCCTGTCGCAAGCAAAAACTGCGCACTATTGAAACATCACACTGGAGGCCAATAATAACTACAAAATCCTATTTTCCACCACCCGCCACCTCATCCGTGTGCTCCCTTAAGCCCCTCAATCATCACATCTAACGCCGCGTAAAGAGGTCATGGACTTCCTTACCTCTAAAATTGACAACATCCGCCTGGCTGCTTCATATCTGCCCCATGTCGCCTACCACCACCCCCATTCTGTCTCCCTCACCCACCCCACCCTCAGCTCCTACCATAGCTCCCACCCTACATTCATTTGCCCCCATCACTCCTTCCTCTCATCCACCATCACCACAATGAAACCCATTACCTACTGCCTCGACCCCCTCCCCACTCAACTACTGATCACTCAGCTCCCCCTCCTCTGCCCACTGCTGGCAGACACTATTAACTGTCTCTCTCCTCAGGATCAGTCCCACCCACTCTCAAACCTGCGGTCATCAACCCACTGCTTAAAAAAATCTACCCTCGATCCCTCCAATCTCGGCCACTCCCGCCCTATCTCAAACCTGCCTTCCTTGCCAAAGCTCTGGAACTCATCGTTGCCAACCAATTTCGTGCCCACCTCTCCCACCACACCCTACTCTAACCCCTCCAGTCCGGTTTCCGTTCCGACTGACCACAGTACAGAGACAGTGCTTGTGAAGGTCACAAACGATAACCTCTCTATCTGTGACCAGGGCTCCCTCTGCCTCCTCGTCTTCCTGGACCTCTCCATCGTGTTCGACACAGTCGATCATGCCATCCTGCTCCACCACCTGTCCTCTATCATCCACCTCAGTGAGACCCGCACTCACTTGGTTCGAGTCCTGCCTTACAAACCGCCAGCAATACATTTCGACAAATGTTTTTTCTTCGCGCTTCCCCCCGGTCACCTGCGAGGTAGATACCTCAAGGATCCATCCTTGGCCCCCTTCTCTTCCTCATCTATATGCTCCCTCTCGGTGATGTCATCCGCAGACACGGGGTTAACTTCCACATGTATGCGAATGACACTCAACTCTACTTTTCCACCTCCAGCTTTAACCCTCAGTCCCCTGATGTTCTGTCAGTTTGTCTGTTAGACATCAGGAGCTGAATGAGCACAAATTTCCTGCAGTTAAACGTCAACAAGATGGGAGCCATAGTCTTTGGCTCCCGCCCACGTCTTCTGACCCACGGTTCCGACCTCCTCAACCTACCCGACCTGTCCTTAAAACTCTCTGAAGCCGTGCGCAACTTAGGCATCAGGTTCGAACCCCAGTTATCCTTCCTCCCCCACAACCAGTCCCTGACCAGCACCTTTCTTCCACCTCCACCACATTGCCCGTCTCTGACAATACCTCACCCCAAAAGTTGCCGAAACCCTTGTCCATACCTTTGTCACCTCTCAGCTGGTCGACTCTAACGCCCTCCTCGTCGCTCTCCCCTCCTCCACTATTCACAAAATTCAGTTCATTCAAAACTCCGCCGCCCGCATTCTCACTCGCACTGACCTCCGTACCCCGATTACTCCAGTCCTGGCCAAACACCACTGGCTCCTGTCACAGAGCAGATCCACTTCAACATCCTCACTCTAGTGTTTAAACCCCTCCATTCCTTGCCCCACCCCATCTCGCTAACCTCCTCTCTCCCCACAGCAGTACCCGCTGCCTCCGCTCTACTGGCTCCGGCCTCCTCCGCATCCCCCAAATCCTCCGCTCCACCATTGGCTGCTGTGCCTTCAGCCACTATGCCCCGAAACTTTGGAACTTCCTCCCTCAGCCCTTTCACCTCGCCCCCTCCTTCCCCATCTTCAGGTCACGGCTGAAAACCTTCCTTTTCAACCGCGCCTATAGTCACCTTCCCCCTCCCCCGGCTCAGCCTCGGGCCCCACCATTGTTAAACTCTGAAAAGCCACCTGACGTGGATGTCACTATATAAGTCCGGGTTGTTGTTGTTGAGTCTGCTAAAGGGAGGTAGCGGACTGATTGATATGGTGTTAACAGGTCACAGAGGTAGGAAGGAGCTCTGTGACAGGGAGCCTCCGTTCAGCGGGCTCCGGTCTGCTCCATGTCTCCCGCCCGACCCACCTTACCATCGGTGGCCGGGCTTTCAGCCTCTCTGCCCCCACACTCTGGAACTCCATCCCACGGTCCCTTCTCCTCACTTACTCCCGCCTCCTTCAAGACTGGTCTCAAGACGCTCCTCTTCAATCATAGCTTCAGTCGCCCTCCCACCACTCTGCCTTCCCTCACCCCTCCCCCACCCCTCCCTCATGCTCGGGTCCTGACCCCTGACTGTCCAGCGTCTTCGGACGTCCTCCCGACGTGAAAGGCTCTCTATCAATGTAATTTTGTTGTTGTTGTTGTGGAGGTCTTTGAAGTTGAGGACAATTACACACAGAGGCACTAGTGTGTAATTTGGTGGCCGCACTTCCAGCCACTACGCCCCGAAGCTCTGGAACACTCCTCTTCTATCCCTCCAACTTACCCCTTCCTTTCCCATCTTCAGGTCGCGCCTGAAGACCTTCCTCTTCGACCGTGCCTATGGTCACCGCCCTCTCCCCCCCACCCCACCCGGCTCAGTGTCGTGCTCCACCGATGTCAAGCACTCTGGGACGCTGTGTCAATGCATCAGGTGCGCTGTGTAAATACAAATTGTTATTGTTGTAATGTAAGCATAATATTATTGTGGAGTCCTGTAGCTCAGTGGTTAGATCACTCACCTCGCAAGCGAGAGACCTGGGTTCGATTCTCCTGCAGGGCGAAATATTGGGCATTTCCTTACTCCACATGCCTCTGTTTACCTCGCAGTAACACGGTTGTAAGTCGATTGGTGGGTCGCTTTTCCAGGGGTAATATTTCCTTCCTAAAAAAAATAATAAATCGGTCACTCAATCCACAACTGTTTGTGGAGCACTGCTGTGCGCAATTGGCTGCCGGGTTTGCCCACAAAGTATACAGTCAATTCACAAGCAGTAGTAGGAATCCGGTTATTAGTCAATTGGGGGATCACTTTTCCAAGAGTAATAATCCTTTCAAAATAAATAATAATAATCCTTGCATTTGATATAGCACCTTCACGTCTTCGAGAAGTCTCAAACACACTGTAAAGTGAATTGACTGTATATTTTGTGGGTGAAACACAGTAGCCAATTGTGCACAGCAGTGTCGCACAAACAGTCGTAGATTGAAGTGACCAATTTATTATTATTATTATTGTAGGAGGAGTTGTCCCCAATAACACGTGTGTTTTTCCGCAGAGAATCAGTGCGGTGTCCCGAGCTGGCCTGAAATACCTGGGACAATCTATTCATGGGATCTGGGACCTGACGGGCGACGGGCTGACAGATTTGGCTGTGGGAGCCTTGGGAACAGCCCTGGTATTCCGGTGAGAAGCTCCCATCACCAGCCGCCAGCAGTATTCCCATTCCCTCCTCGCATTCCCATAAGCATCTCGGGAATTGCCGTAGTGTAGTGACTAGAGCAATGGCCTTGCAAGCAAGAGGACCCGGGTTCGATTCCCAGACAGGACAAACCCTTTGACAAGTTTCCTTACTCCACACACCTCTGTTTATCCAGCAGTAATTTGTAACCTGTTTGTTAGTCGATTGACGGGTCGCTTTTCCAGGGATAATAATAATTTGGCCACTCAATCCACGAATGTTTGTGGGACACTGCTGTGCTCAATTGGCTGCTGCGTTTTGCCCACAATATACATAGTCACTGCACTTTACAGTATATCCTGTGAAGTGCTTTGAGACGTCTGGAAGACGTGATAAAGCTCTATATCAAATGTAAGGTTTATTATAATTACTAATGAAAATCTTTCTAATTCAGATCGAGACCCGTCATCAACGTGACGGCCAGTGTTACCTTCAGGCCCCAGAAAATTCCTCTGGAGGATTTCTTGTGCAACCAAACACCTCTTGACTTCCAAGGGCCAGTAACCAATGCATCGATCTGCTTCCACTTGCTGTCGCCAGGCAAACCAGGTTTGTACATTCCTGGGGTCCTGCCTGACTCAGTCAGTCGCTGTCTCGCTCCCGATTCCGAAGGTTGTGCGTTCGAGCCCCCCACATGTCGGGACTTGGACTAAGCTGACACTCCAGAGCAGTGCTGGGGGGAGAGAGAGTCACATTGCAGTTCTTCGGATGGGACTTTACACTTCACTCACTCCCCATCTGTGCCCTGTTCAGGGCGGATGTTAAAGTTCTCCCACGGCGCTGTTGTGACAAAGCACGGTATCAAATGCAAGGAATATTATTATTGTGTTATTACAGTTTAAATCATTCTGTGCAGTTAGTTTCTAAGTGCTCAGGTGCAATTCCTTGACTGTCCAGCGCCTTGGGACATCCTCCTGACATGAAAGGCTGTGCAAATGTCATTTGTTGTTTTTGTTGTCACAGAATACACCGCGAAGTGCAATGTGACAATAATAATCCTTGCTTTTGATAATGCGCCTTATCGCTTTGTTGAGATGTCTCTAATCACTTCACAGAATATACTGTAAAGTGTAGTTATTGTATACCTTGTGGGTGAAAGGTGGCAGCCAATTGCACACAGCAGTGTCTCACAAATAGTTGTGGATTTAAGGGATTATTACGCCCGAAAAGCGAACCGCCAATCGAATAACAGCCGGGTTCCGACTTACTGCTAAGTAAACAGAAGTATGTGGAGTAAAGGAAACTTGCCTAAGGTGGAGGAGTCCTGTCGTGTAGTGGTTAGAGCGCTCCCCTCGCAAACAAGAGGACCTGAGTACAATTCCTGGGCAGAGCAAAATATTGGTCAATTTTACTTACTCCACACGCCTCTGTTTACCTGGCAGTAAGTAGGAACCCGGTTATTAGTGTATCGGCGGATCGCTTTTCCGGGGGCAATAATCTCTCCAACAAAAAGTATTTATAAATTGGTCACTCAATCCACGACTGTTTGTGAGACACTATGTGAACAATTGGCTGCCGCGTTTTCCCACAAAATATACAGTCAATTCACTTGACAGTATATTCTATGAAGCGCTTTGAAACGTCTCAACAACGTAATAAGGCGCTGTATGAAATGTAAGGACGATGATGTCAACTGTAAGGATTATTATAAGGAAACTGGCCTAAGGTTTCGGACTGCCCGCCCGGGAATCAAATGAGATTTGGTGGATGAAACACGGCAGTCATTATCGTTGAACCTAAGATGGTTTGTCTTTTTGTCGCCCGCTGTAATGTACAGGAGAGATGAGCATACACCTCACCTACCGTTTGGACCTGGATTCGGAGAGGCAGCAGAGACGTGTTACATTCTCAGCTTCACAGAGATCTCTGACAAGGAACCTCTCAATCAGTCAGAAAGAAATCTGCGTGGAACAAAATATATTCATCCCTGTGAGTCTCTCTGTCTCCCTGCTCTCTCCTCCTGGGGGTGGGGGGGAAGTGGGGTCTCCTCGAAGCTGAATTGGCTCCAAGATGACAGGTTTGGCAACGCAATGTCGGAATTGTTTAAGAGAGTGAATGACCAAACCCTACAGTTTGCTCAGCTCAGGCCGCAGTACCGTTACTTCACCAGCAGGTGGTGATGCTGTACACTATGTGCAGCGCTATTGCTGCGGTCTTGTTGCGGACACACCCAGAGGATTTCAGGCTCCCAAGGGCTGGCTGTCTTTATAAAGGATTGGTTTAACCCCCACACCCCCCCACCCGCCACATATCTGCGGTGCTGAAACAAAGCCTCAGTATTGCAGAGCTGACATCACACAGATGCCATATCCTGTGAAGCGCTTTGAGACGTCTCACAGACACGATAAGGCTCCGCCAGAGACATAAAACCTTCTCAACACAGGAGAGTGACTGATCAGCCCACTGTGCCCGTATTGGATTGTGAACCCTGGAACAGTTTAAATAGAAGCACTTTCCTCTCCCCTTGCCTTCTCTGCCCCAGCTCCTCACACCCCTGTTTTGAGTTAGTCTATGGCTAACTTCATTTACGTTTCCTGGAGATTTTTTTCCGAGTGTTTAAATATTTCACTTTCTTCACTGTTTGTTTTGTGAACGCACAAACGAGACTAAATTCCTCATTGTGTGCTGTAGCTCAGTGGTTAGTGCGCTCGACTCGCAAGCAAGAGGACCTGGGTTCGATTCCCAGGTGAGGTGAAATTTTCAACAAGTTTCCTTACTCCACACACACGCGCCTGTTTGCCTAGCAGTAAGTAATAATAATAATCCTTGCATTTGATATAGCGCTTTTCACATCTTCTAGACGTCACAAAGCGCTTCGCAGAATATACTGTAAAGTGTACTGACTGCATATGTTGTGGGTGAAATGCGGCAGACAATTGCGCACAGCAGTGACCCACAAACAGTCATGGATTGAAGTGACCAATTTATTATTGTTTTTTTTTGAGGGATTATTATCGGGCGTGTGGAGTAAGAAACTTGCCCAAGGTTATTTAAGAAAGGACATACTCGCCTCAGAGGGGGTGCAGCATAGCTTCACTAGGTTAGTTCCTGGGATGAGGGGGATGAGTTACGAGGATAGACTTGGGCCGATATTCTCTAGAATATAGAAGAATTAGGGGTGATATTATAGAAACATATAAGATTCTTGACAGAGGGGACAGTGCGAGAGTATTTCCCCTGGTTGGAGAACCTAGAACTAAGGGTCACAATCTTAAGATTAAGGGACAGCCTTTTCAAACAGAGTTGAGGAAACACTTCTTCACTCAGAGGGTAGTGAATTTATGGAATTCTCTACCCCAGAAGGCTGTAGATGCTCTTTCCTTGAACATATTCAAGGCTGAGATTGATAGGTTTCTGAAGGAGAGAGGGATTAAAGGATATGGGGATAAGGCGGGCAGACGGAGTTGGGTTAGAAGATCAGCCATGATCTTATTGAATGGCGGGGGAGGCTCGAGGGGCTGAATGGCCTACCTCTGCTCCTAATTCCTATGTTCCTATGTTTCACCTTACCAGGAATCGAACCCAGGTCTCTCGCTTGCAAAGCGAGTGCTCTACGCACTGAGCTACAGGACTCCACTAAGGAAGGAGGAACCCGATTATTAGTTGATTGGCCTTTCGCTTTCCTTCAAAAAAATAATAATTTATTCACTCAATCCACGACTGTTTGTGGGACACTGCTGTGCGCAATTGGCTGCCGTGTTTCACCCACAAAATATATAAAGTCTGTGAAGTGCATTGAGAGGTCTTGAAAATGTGATTAGACGCGATATCAAACGCAAGGATTATTATTATTATAATGGAGCCAGCCCTCTGTGACGGTCGCTAGTCCAGTTCCTGAGCCACGCAGGTCCACAGTATTCCAGGGCACTCACTGCTGATGACAGCACAGCCCAGCCTGGGTCATCAGCAGGACCTCGAAGGGCAGACCAGTCACTGGGAATCTTCTCACTGGATAAGGTGGTCCCAGCTGCAGGAAAGCTTGCCAGATAATGTTCTCAATGGCAAGCTATGTGGTTTTAGCTGGTTAGACACTGCCACAGGATAGAATGGATGCTTCTTTGATTCAAGAAGCCATATTATAGGGTGAGTCACCCAATCAATTTTATATTGTGTCAGCCTGGCCCAGTCGCTGGGTGTCAGCCCGGCCCAGTCGCTGGGTGTCAGCCCGGCCCAGTCGCTGGGTGTCAGCCCGGCCCAGTCGCTGGGTGTCAGCCCGGCCCAGTCGCTGGGTGTCAGCCCGGCCCAGTCGCTGGGTGTCAGCCTGGCCCAGTCGCTGGGAGTCAGCCTGGCCCAGTCGCTGGGTGTCAGCCTGGCCCAGTCGCTGGGTGTCAGCCTGGCCCAGTCGCTGGGTGTCAGCCTGGCTCAGTCGCTGAGAGTCAGCCTGCTCAGTCGCTGGAGTCAGCCTGGCTCAGTCGCTGGGAGTCAGCCTGGCTCAGTCGCTGGGAGTCAGCCTGGCTCAGTCGCTGGGAGTCAGCCTGGCTCAGTCGCTGGGAGTCAGCCTGGCTCAGTCGCTGGGAGTCAGCCTGGCCCAGTCGCTGGGTCTCAGCCTGGCTCCTTCACTCGCGCTCTTGCCTCTGAGTCAGAAGGTTGTGGGTTCGAGCCCCCTACTCCTCGGGCACTTGGAATCACACAGTCTAAGCTGATGCTCCAGCACAGCACTGGGGGCGGGGAGACAAAGAGATCACCAAATTGTCAGAGGTGCCGTTGTTCGAATGAGACAGGTCATTCGCCCGGAATAAACCCACAAGGACTGACGTTTTATAATTGTGGCTAAAATCTTGGTTGTGTTCTGTTGCCCTTTACAGGACTGCATTGAGGATTACTTCTCTCCTATTTGGCTCAATGTCAGCTTCACATTGTTAGAGACTCCGCCTGAGACAGCAGAGGGATACCAGCCTATCCTCAATCCACAGTGTGATCAGGCTCTCTCTGTGCTGGTAAGTTCTGCCTCTGGGGGTAGGGAATCCTCTCACTCAGCTCCTGTTAACCCTGCAGCCAAAGCCCTAATGGGCAGAGTGGTCCAGCTGGACAAGCAGCGGGAAAGCTTGCCAGACAGTGATATCAATGGCAAGCTATGGGGTCTGTAACCCCGGGGGTCAAACTCTCCTTCCTTATCTGCATCCCCACCCTCCCTGTCAATCCTCCCCCTACCCCCCCACCCCACCTCGTTTCGCACATTCCTCCACCACCAACTGTATCCTCCACATCTGCCTTCAAAATGCCAGCTCCCTCTCCAATAAAACACTCACCATCCAAGACCTCATCACTGAGGTAAATATCGACATTCTCGCTCTCATTGAAACCTGGGTCACTCCAGGCAACATCTGCCCCTTGACAGAGACCACACCACCCGCCTACACCTTCCATCATACCCCACGATCTAACCACCGTGATGACAGTGTGGCTCTCATCTCCCAGTCCCCACTCGGCTTGTCCTCTTACTCCTCCGGAACCTTACCCCCCTTTGAGCACCTTACTCTCTATCATCCCTCCAACCTTTCCCCCAAAATTCTCCTTATTTACTGCCTCTCAAACCCTCCCCCATCTTCCTCCCAAACATCTCCACCTCCTATCTTCCTTCTCCCTCTGCTCCAAATGCCTTCCTCATCCAAGGCAACTTCAAGCTGCATTTCACTCCCTCCTGCTCTACCTCTGCTGTCCTTCTATCCACTGGCACTGTTCCCACCCCTCTGTCATTAACCCCATCTTTAAAAAACCTTACCTGGACCCATCCCTACTCTCCAGTTACTGCCGTATCTCCAACCTCCCTTTCTTCTCCAAGCCCCTGGAATGAGTCGTTGCGTCCCAGCTTCACTCTTTCCTCTCCCACCATTCCCTCTATGAACCCTTCCAATCAGGTTTCCGTGCTGCCCTCAGCACAAAAACAGCCCTGGTCAAAGTCACTAATGACATTCTGTCCATCTGTGACCAGGGCCCTCTCTGCCTCCTTGTGCTCCTTGACCTCTCTGCTGCCTTCCACACTGTTAACCATTCTATTTTTCTCCACCACCTCTCCTCTCGGTTCAACCTTCATGGACCTGGTTCAAATCCTACCTCTCCCACCATCTCCACTTAGTTGCCACTGATAGCTTCTCCTCCAGCCCCCGCACCGTCACATGTGACATTTCTCAGGGCTCTGTTTTTGGTCCCCTCCTCTTCAATATCTACATGCTCCCCCTTGTTGACATCATCAGTAGACATAGGGTCAACTTACACATGTATGCGGATGACACCCAACTCTATCTTTCTGCCTCCACCCTCGACTCCAGGACCACTGCTGTCCTCACAGACTGCCCGTCAGACATCAAGATCTGGATGAGAGCTAACTTTCTCCAGTTGAATGTCAACAAGATTGAGGCCCTCCTGCTTGGCTCCCGTTAGAGCCTCCACACCTCAGGCGCTGACAGCATCATCCTTCATAGATGCACTTTACACCACATGGAGCCGAAAAAAGAACCTCAGCGTCTCGTCCTGCAACCCCACATCCATGCCATGACCCACTCCACCTTTCCCTACCTCCGCAACATTGCCCATCTACCCCACTGTCTCTCACAGTAACCCTCATCCACGCATATATTACATCCAAACTTGACTACGCAAACTCCCTGCTTGTCGGCCTCTCAACTCCTCCCTCCATAGGCTGCAGGTCATCCAGAACTCTGCAACCCATGTCCTCTCCCAAACCAGGCTCTGCAACCCCATCACCCACATCCTCACCCGACTCCACAGGCTCCCCATTATTCGGAGGATACAGTTAAGTTCCTGGTCCTCATCTTCAAAGTCCTCTACAACCTTTCCCCTCCCTACCTCTGCGACCTACTAATCCCCAAACTGTCCGTCCTCTCCGCTCAGTGGGCTCCGATCTGCTTCATGTCCCCTGCCCCACCATTGGTGGGCGGGCCTCACACTCTCTACCCCCACCCTCTGGAACTCCATCCCACAGTCCCTCTGCCTCGTCCCGTGCCTCCTTCAGGAACTGTCTCAAGACCTTCCTCTTTGACCGTGCCTTTGCTCACCCTCCTTCCCCTACCTTCTCTGACATCCATCCCTCCTGATCCCAACCACCAGCTCGCGTGCAGATCCCTGACTGTCCAGCACTTTGAGATGTCCTGCTGACCTGAAAGGCGCTATGCAAATTTGATTTGTTTTGTTGCATTGATATAGTGCTCTTCACGGACACTGGGGGAGAGAGAGAAACTCCCTTCGCTCCACCCACCCCTCCCCCACCCGCCCCATCTAGCGCAACAGGAGGTCTTTAATATCCCCCAGGGCACGGACAGGGAGTGAGGCTTAACGTCTCATCCGAAGGATGATGCCTCCGACAATGCGGTGCTCTCTCCCTCTCTCTCGCCCCATGTTGGGCGGCTCAAACCTACAACCTTTTGACTTGGAGACGAGAGTGCGAGCAACTGAGCCGGGCTGGTGCACAGCGACTGAGCCGGGCTGGCGCACAGCGACTGAGCCGGGCTGGCGCACAGCGACTGAGCCGGGCTGGCGCACAGCGACTGAGCCGGGCTGGCGCACAGCGACTGAGCCGGGCTGGCGCACAGCGACTGAGCCGGGCTGGCGCACAGCGACTGAGCCGGGCTGGCGCACAGCGACTGAGCCGGGCTGGCGCACAGCGACTGAGCCGGGCTGGCGCACAGCGACTGAGCCGGGCTGGCGCACAGCGACTGAGCCGGGCTGGCGCACAGCGACTGAGCCGGGCTGGCGCACAGCGACTGAGCCGGGCTGGCACACAATGTGTGTGTGTGTGTGTGTGTGTGTGTGTATGTGTAACTTCATCACTTTGTGTTTTGTTACAGCTTCCTCTGCAGAAGAATTGCGGAGTAGACGAGGTGTGTGAGGACGAGTTGAATGTTATTTTAAACAGTGGAAGGTGAGGTGGGGTCTTGTCACAGCTGGCCATCACGCTACATAGCTTATACAATAGTAATAACTGTTAGCCTTGCATTTAATATTGCGCCCTATCACGTCGTTGAGCCGTCCCAAAACGCTTCACAAAATATATTGTAAAGTGAATTGACTGTATATTTTGTGGGCGAAACCAGCAGCCAATTATGCACAGCAGTGACCCACAAACAGTCGTGGATTAAGTGACCAATTTTTTTTTAAGGGATTATTATTATTAAAAAATTATTATTTTTTTACCACCGGAAAGTGATCCACCAATCGACAAACAACCGGGTTCCTACTTACTGTTAGTTAAACAGAGGCTGTGAGGTTAACAAAGAACGGGCACGGTATCATTCCCTGTGTTTCTTTCCATCGTTCTTACATCCTCCCCATTCTCAAACATTCGGTTATACGCAGTGAAGGGCTCTGTGTAAATACTAAGTGTTGTTAATATATAGGAACGTAGGAGCAGGAGTAGGCCATTTGCCCCTTGAGCCTGTTCCGCCATTCTATAAGATCATGGCTGATCTGTACCTCAACTCCAATTACCTGCCTTTGCCCCATATTCCTGATACCCTGACCTAACATATATCTATCCACCTCAGTCTGGACAATGTGAATGGATCCCCTGGCACTTCCTGGCTGGACTATTCCAATGGTCTCCTCGCTGGTCTCCTCAGCTCCACCATACACAAAATCCAATTAATTCAAAACTCCACCACTCTTTGGCAAGGACCGGTGTGACGGGGGTAAGGAGTTTCACCTGCACAAAACTCATAACCCCATCCCCACCTCTCTCCTCACTGGTTCTCAATCACTGGCTATCAACAGATCGATTTCAAGACCCTTTCACTCATTTTCAAATCACTTCATGCCCTGGCACCTCCCTCCCTTTCAAACCTGCTCGACCCCTCACTCCACCACCCGATGCCTCCTCTCGGCTGGTTCTGGCTTCCTGTTCGTTCCTCATACAACTTGGTGTTAGAACCAGCATCCACATCCTTTTGGGGGAGAGAGCTCCAGATTTCCACTCCCCTTTGGGTGAAAAACTGCCTCTTGATTTCACTCCTAAGTGGCCTAGTTTTAAGATGATGTCCCTTGTTCTGGATTCTCCCACCAGAGGAAATAGTTTCTCTGCAGCTATCCCATTGAGTCCCTTTATTATTTTAAACATCTCAATCAGATCAGACCTCAACCTTCTAAACTCAAGGGAATACAGAACCAGGTTTATGCAACCAGTCCTCATAATTTAACCCTTTATGCCCTGGTATCATTCTGGTGAATCTGCAAATTGTTGTAAGGGTTTAGTAGGTCACAGAGGTAGGGAGGAACAAAACTGTGGAGGGCTTTAAAGGTGACAAAGAGGATTTTGGACTCAATCCTCTGGGACAAGGGGAGCCAGTGGAGCCAGGCGAGGATGTGGTTGATGGGGTCACAGAACCTGGAGTGGGGTGAAAGCTGTCTTCATTCTTGTTCGTAGAGTCCTGTAATGCAGTGGTTAGAGCACTCACCTCGCAAGCGAGAGGACCTGAGTTTGATTCCCGGGAAGGGTAAAACTTTAGACAAGTTTCCTTACTCCACATGCCTCCGTTTATCCAGCAGTAAGTAGGAATCTGGTTGTTAGTCATTTGGCGAATCGCCTCTCCATGGGTTAAGCCAAATCCTCCTTCTACTCCACTTCTTTCTCTCTCGCCATTCCCTCTTTCAATCCCTCCAATCCGGCTTCCGCATTGCCCATAGCACGAAAACAGCCCTGGTCAGTCACTAATGACATTCTGAACATCTTAATTTTTGCAGACCTGTCCTTGCCTGGATCGAATCCTATCTCTCTGACCGTCTCCACTTTGCTGCCTCTAATGGTTTCTCCTTCAGCCCCGCACTGTCACATCTGGTGTCCCCCAGGGCTCTGTCCTTGGCCCTCTCCTCTTTAATATCTACATGCTCCCCCTTGGTGACATCATCCGCAGACATGGGGTCAACTTCCACATGTATGCGGATGACACCCAACTCTATCTTTCTGCCTCCACCCTCAACTCCAGTACCACTGCTGTCCTGACAGACTGCCTTTCGGTCATCAAGTCCTGGATGAGGCAAATTTCCTATAGATGTATGTCAACAAGACTGAAGCCCTCCTGATTGGCTCACGCCAGCGCCTCAGCACCTCAGGCTCTGGCAGCATCAGCCTCCAGCGTTGCACATTCAACCTCACTCAGCCAGTCAGCAACCTGGGTGTCTTGTCTGACCCTGAACTTTCTCCACCACATCCGCGCCATGACCGGCACTGCCGCAGCATTGCCAGACTCCACCACTGCCTCACCCCCTCAGGCCACCGAAACCCTTGTTCATGCCTTCATCACATTCAGGCTCGACTATGCAAATGCCCTACTTGTTGGCCTTCCCAACTCCTCCCTCCACAGGCTGCAGATAATCCAGAACTCTGCAGCCCGTGTCCTCTCCCGCACCAAACTCCGTGATCCCATCTCCCCCATTCTCGCCCGACTCCATTGGCTCCCTATCCTTCAGAGGATCCAGTTCAAGATCCTGGTTCTCACCTACAAAGCCCTCCATGGCCTCGCACCACCCTACCTCTGCGACCTCCTAACCCCCTACCAACCCGCCCGCACCCTCTGCTCAACTGGCTCAGGCCTGCTCCAATTCCCCCGACCCACCCATCCCACAATTGGCAGGAGAGCCTTCAGCCACTCTATCCCCAACCTCTGGAATTCCATCTCCCAATCACTCCGCCTCACTCCTTCCTTAGCCTCCTTCAAGTCCTGCCTCAAGACCCTTCTCTTCGACCATGCCATCGGCCACCCCACTTCCTCTCCCCTCCCTTCTCCCTGCCTGATCCCAGTTCGGTTCTGAAATGCTGTAAACTGTCTAGCGCCTTGGGACATCCTCCTGACGTGAAAGACGCTATACACATGTAATCTTGTTATTGTAATAATCCCTTCAAAAAAATAATAAATTGGCCACTCAATCCACAATTCCTTGTGAGGCGCTGCTGTGCGCAATTGACTGCTGCGTTCAACTCACTTTACAGTGTATTCTGTGAAGCGCTTTGAGATGTCCCTATGATGTGATGAGGCGCTATATTAAATGTAAAGAGTATTATTATTATTAATATTATTAAGTCCATTTTCTGTTGCCACTTTTATTCTTTCACACAGAGTCCAAAAACTGGTGCTGGGGAGAGATTCTCTGTTAAATCTAAGCGTCTTGTTAAACAA